AACCTTACACCATGTGACAGAATGAAGCATACTGGAGAAGATAGGCACTTCATAAATGAAATTTAGATAGTGGATTGAGTTGTATCTGAATACCTAAACTAATGGTCAAATTGCAGATGTGCTAACAAAAGGACTCAGTACTGCTGCGTTCCAAGGACTTATCTCCAAGTTGGGAATGATAGATGCATATTCACGAGCTTTAGGAAAAGTATTCGGAAATCCATCGATGTTCTATCTTAATATTAGAAAATTAATCTTCCCAAAAATATAGTATACCTATTAGGGAATTCCACTCTTATATAGATTTGATTTGTTGCAATCCTTTCCTTTTTTTTTCTTTGTTGTAGTTATATCTACTCATGTATATGCTCCTTAATATAGAAAAACCATTGCATGTTTCATCATGAATTATGAAACATAATTGTTTATGCCTCAGATACTATTATCTTTATCATTGATTGATTTCCTTAATTGGTGGGTACAATTCAATAATTCTTGCCCCAAGTTTGTTGGCAATGAAAGTGAGGTTCCTGCAGAAATGCAATCATCCACACCAATTGAATTGTCTACAATGTCAGCAACTAACACTCAGAAATTGTCTCGGTCTGCTGTTTCAGCAAGTAAAGAAAAATCTAATACTCTTGTTCAAGCGACAATATCTACACTCTTTAAGAAAGCAGATGAAAAGGTATTGTGTTTATTAATTGAGGGTCTTCAATGTAGTCGGTGCAATTTCAACATACAATGCAGCTAGTTCTCTAAGTGGATAATGTGGTACTTGGTGCACTAACATTTATATACGTTAATTTGTTTGCACCAGTATAATTTGTGCATACAAAAATATGCATTAATATGTGAATACACATTTGTGAACTTGACAATTTTGTGCATGTACACATGCATGCATGTATTTAGAGTTTATCTACATGTTGTATTTATTTCTTGTTATTGTAACTATTGTAAGTGTACATATGGTAGGTGATAAGAATAGTTTGGTATATATTTTATTGAATATTACATTCCTATATATATATAGGTTTTATAATAGGAAAAATGAAATAAACAATTAATTATCATTAATTACATAGGGTGTAATTTACTTTTATACCCTTTAACTTAATTCAACACATAGTGTGTAACTGACTTTTATATCCTTTAACCTAATTCGCCATTTCTCTAACACTCTGTCAACACCCTTAGTCATGGTAGTTGAACTGAAAGAGAAGAAGAAGAAGCAGAAGAAGAGAGAAATTTTATTTCTTTTCGGATGTTGTCTACAAGTATAGATAGATAGCTTTTTATAGGCTTAAACGCAGTGTTTGCGCCGAGGATCTTTGGCCCTAGCGGTGGTCGGCTGGTGATGGCATATATGTAGGTAATAATATAATAAAAGAAATCCTAACCTTAAATGTTCATTTTTTGTAATTTTTCCTTTTTCATCATTATTATCCTAACAATACTCTCCCCTTGAACGTCAACTTGTCCTCAAAGTTGAGTTATGAAACCTTTTCTTAGAGAGTCCATTCCGTAACAATTTCCTCCAACACCATCATTGTTTTACTTGCGCAACAGTGTCTGGGAAGTACTATTTTCCACACTTATAGCAAGCAGCCATTGCTCTTTTATGTTTTTTCTCCCTTCCTATGGTTCGGAGCAGTTGATTATAATTTTTTTTTGTTTTAGATCCTTTCAAGAATTTGACAACTTTACCAGTAAAATATGAACTTTAGAGCATTTCTATGACAGATTGTTTCCCGAACCAAGGCTTGCTCAAGACTTCATTAAGTGTGTGTGGCTTGAGCAGCCTTATCATCAGTTTTAGTTATAGTTTGAGTCCATTAATGAAGCTGGATATAAAGAATTTTTCCGATAACGTGGGGATTTACATCCATGAGAGAGTGTAAGTGCTCTTCATAGTCGAGAACAGTACCTGTTTGAGATAATTTATTGAATTACTCTATGAAATCCTTTTACGATGGTCCATCGAATGTATGACAGAGTTCTTCCACAAAATACTAGTAATTCATGGCATCCATTTTGGGTAGTCACCCATGGTACCATATATCGGCAACTTCTCTTAAATATAGGCAATATAATCTCCACTTTTTGCTCGTTAAGAGTGTTGTGAATAATAAAATATTTCTCATACCTTCGAACCCACCTGCGAGGGTTTATTCTTTCGAAAAGTGGAATTTCCACCTTGGGAAGGGAAATAAGTTGGTTGGAACTAGTTTGGTGCATAGGATCCATTGGGCCGGGTCGGTTGAGATTAGTTCGGGTTGCAACTAGACTAGTTCGGGTCAAACAGGTTTGGGTTGGGTCAAATTGGTTCAAACTGAATCGGTTCGGTTCAGATTGCTTCGGGTTGGGTTGGTTTCGTCTGGATCGGTTAAGCCTGGACCTATAAATAGGTCTGAAGCGAAAAATCCGGTTTTAGGAATTTGTGGAGCCTCTGAATCCCAACTTTCTTTCTCTTCTTCCTCAAGTGCGAAGGGCGGCGGGAGATTTGCCCTCAACCCGTGTGCAGCTTTGAGCGCGAAGCAGGTAGCATAAATGTCCTTTGCTTGTGCATGGCCGTCATCTAGTTTGTCAGGGTCGGCATCCTATGGCACGACGCACCATCTTGTGTTGTCTCCTCGTGTGTGAAAGGATGCGGTCGGTCTCCTTGCAGTCCGAATCGGTTGTCGCTTGGGCTGCTGGTCTCGGCTTCTCTTGATGCGGCGCCTGCCCGCATACTAGCTCCACCATGTGCTCAAACTAATGGTGGAATTCACGGTTCATTTCATATACATCTTCCATGAAGGCAATTAGTTTCTGACAACGTCCTTCATGTTGAGTTCGAGCGTTTCAGGTTTCTCCGACTCAACAATTGCTGC